CCCATAATACAGAGTGTTTTAATGTAGAAAAATTACATTAAATAAAGTTTCCCAAGCTAGAAAAACATAAAAGTGCAAATCGAATCTACTACACAGTAGAGTTGCTCCACCGAGCCGTCCAGCGTCTCTACTGCACAAGAGAGATTTTCCACATAATAGACCCTAAACACTAGAATCTATCATCCAAATATATAGAGGTCGTGTTTAACAATAATTCCGTTAAAAGAAATTAATCAAACACAATCTGTTCAAAATCAATAACAAAGAACGCAGTCTTTCTCACAGGAAATTGATCAAACACAATCTACTCTAAGTTTTACATGAATTTACTTCTAATAAAATTCCAACATTGAATCCACTCTTGCATTTCGTCATTTTGTTTTCCTCCCATATCTCATCGTTTCAAAGCAAACAGTTGGAGAAACAAATATAATGCAAGGAGAAGAATGAAAAGACCACTCACTTGAAGAAGCAGCGACTGTGGGCAGAGGTAGACATGAGCGTAGTGGAAGAAGTACTACAGAGAAGGAGGGGATAACATTCCAAGAAGGGCGGGGTAGCATTTAGCTAATTTTCTCCCGAATCCTTCATATCCCAATCCATTGTCGATGGATTCAAAGGAAAGAAGCTCAAATTCATTCGCAGGTGTGTTTTCTAAACTTTGTTCTTACCATTCCTTTTTTTTTTTTTTTTTTTTGGAGGAGAAACAAAACTTTATTAGAAAACGAGGAAAAACATACAACCAGAGCAAGAGTTTTCCTCTCAAGGACAGGGTAAAACTAAAAAACACAAACAAAAGGAAATGACCAGGCCAAAAACCAGCAACTGAAAACAGATGAGACAGAAACTACAGAAAAGGACCCCAACTCCCAATCAAATATGAGAAGATTGGCCTGCCAAACTCTTTATCTCTATAGACCCAAGTAGAAACCCAAAACTTCACTTTGTCCCACAATACACAATTCCCTTCCTCACGGTCATCAAATAATCTGCTATTTCTTTCTAGCTAAACACCTCATAAAACTGCTAAAGTCGCATTTCTCCACAAAATTCTACCCCTCAGACTCAAATACGAGGGAGGAGGTAATTCAATTAAATCCGAGCAAGTTCTAGGCATTGCCCAATCCAAGCCAAACTCCTTCAAGAAAAATGACCAGACAAGAAAGGAGAAAGGGCAATGTAAGAACAGATTATTGACTGATTCACCCTCATTCCTACATAAAATGCACTAGCAACAAAGAAATGAAAGGGCCCCTGAGTTGCATCACATCATGAGTGTTCAATTTATCGAGGACGAGTAGCCAACAAAGAAATTGAATTTTAGAGGGAACTTGTGTTTTTCAGATAATATTATAGAAATTAAAAGGTGAGGCGTGATGTTTGGCTGTCAACAACGAGAAATAAGACCAAACTAAAAAGTTCCCGTTTGGGTCTAAAACCCACTCTTCTATCCTGCAAAAATTCATTAAGATGAACCCCCTCCAAAATAGCTATTATCTCTGAAGCCTCCCTCGACTCCCTACCAGTCAAATTCCTAGAGAACTTCAAATCCCAAGAACAATACTCATTACCTTGGGACGCAGACCTTGAAACAAAAGCCACGATTGGCTGATTATGAAGCTGAGAAAGCAGGTACAAGGACGAGAATCTCATAAACAAGGGCATTTCACTGCACCAGATATCCTCCCAAAATTTAATCAACTCCCCCGAACCTACCTTCCATTTGTTTTGCTGGAAAAAACCTTCCGCAACGGACTTAACAGATTTCCATGGGCATCTAAATATGGATCTAGAGGCTGCCCCAGAATCCCAATGATTTTGATTCGTCTCATACTTCCCTGCGATGACTCTAAACCATAAGGAATATCTAATGGAAATCTCCATAACCACTTTGCCAACAAAGCTTCATTCCTCTTCCTAATGTTACCAATCCCCAAACCCCCACATTCTTTGGTCTGCACACCTGCTCCAAAGCCACGAGATGAGTGGCGTTATTCTCACAGTATCCCTTCCACAAAAAATCCCTCATGAGTTTTTCAATCTCCTATGCCACACCAATAGGAATCCAAAACGGAGACAAGTAATAAACTGGTAACAAGGAAAGAACAGACTGTTAAAGAACAAAAGTTCGAAGCTCCATCAAGCAGCCAATCCCATGAGGAACTAAGTCCAAAACCAGCACCAAGCACCCAACCCCATTTGTGCAAGTGTTCAATAGCTAACCCGGACTCATCATCCCAACAAGATTATGCAGGTTCAGTTCTTTTCTCTGTATATAAGAAAACCCCTTTTCATTGATAATTAATCAATTACGGGGAAAGAAGAAGACCCCACTCCCACACCTTACAACCCATCTCAGAAGCAACACCTCTTACTGTGATTCATCGACATTTATACCTACTATGACGCTTTTTCCCATTTTAATCTTAAATCCCAAACACCGTGGGAAGAGTTTTGGAATTTTAGTTTTGCATTTCAGATATTCCCTAGGCATACATCCAATAGGAAAAAAGTATCATCCACGAAAATTGTAAACCATAAATTGAAACTGTATTTATTTTGATCATTAATATGTTTATTGTTTCAGAGAAAGAGATTTGATTTTCATTCACTTGAGTTCTTGTTCCACTTATAATGCTATATCTTTGGTTAAATTTTTTCTGCTCTAAATTTAGGTCCTACATCAATACACAAGCAATAACTAACTCAATTCTTTATATGTATACATAGCTCAGCAAGATCCATCAAGGGCATAAACATCTTACCCCAGAACATCATAACCTGGAGAGTTATCTCAACCTAGATCTCCGTCCCAAGCTCAAATGGATATCCTCTTCAGAAATGTGCGAGGGAAACTGGGGTGCAATAGAGATGATACTTGAAGCAAATCCAACATGGATTAGTGCTAGGACAAGACGGGGTCAAACAATGCTCCACTTTGCAATAGGACTAAGACATGTCCATTTCGTATAAAATTTAGTACAAAGAATGAGCAATAGAGAGTTGGCCACCCCAGATAATGACGGTAATACCGCATTATCCATAGCAGTTGTGAATGGATGTAGAAGACTCGTAAATATCCTAATACAGAGAGACACAAGTCTATTGAGAATCAAAAATCGAGTCTTCCCCTAGAAATTGCAGTTGACTATCAAAGGATTGAAATGGTGCAGTGTCTCTGGGGCTATCTTGAAACAAATGAAAGAAGCAAAGTTGTTTTCAAAAATTGTTGAATGGGGTCTGTATGGTATGTACAAAACAGTTAGTTATCCTTTTCCCATAATAAAGAGACATAGATAACAGTTTAATTTATGGGGTTACATCAGATATAGATGTCATGTTGAAAATTAGTTTCACCGTGCTTATTTTCTTTCTAGCATTTTCACCCGCTTATGCTTAAACAAGATAGGAGAGCTCCCCTAGTAGGTTATCTACAGTATTTGTCAGGTTTTTAAAGGAAATATATTCTTTTATTTATTTTTTATCATCAATATAATTTGATTCTTGTTTAAATCATGTCAAACATACAGATATAGCCATAGAAGCGTTTCTTGGTGACAACAACTTAGCTCATGAAACAAAAATAAGAGCTTTGGAGATTTTGGTGGAAGGACATGCTCACAAATCTTCATGCCAATGTTCTTTTTCATGTATGTGTTCAAACAGCCTTCACGGACTCCTTCATGTTGTGCAGAACCGTTGTAAGTACTCTTTTTTTTTTCTTTTTTGAAAAGAAACATAAATTTTATTAAAAAAAAAAATTGATACACAAGCAGAGTGAGAGTGTTTCTCTCAAAATCAAAAACTGAACAACAAACCAGAACTAAAACTAGAAATGACCAGACCCTAGAAATAAGACAACTAAAGAGTAGAGATGAACTACAAAAATGTGTCCAGCTCCTAATCAAATCTAAAAAATTTGGCCTACCAAACTCTCTATCTCAAAAGTCCACTTCAAATGCTAGTTTTTTCCTTCTTTTTGCCCTATATTCCTCCATTGCTTTATTTTCTACTAACACTTTGTCCAGAATCCGTCTATCTTTCACAACAGCACATTCTAACAAGGAAACTGCATGCCCTAGCCTTTGCCAAAATTTTGTAAATACTCGTCACTAAGCATATTGATCTATAGTCCTTCAACCTCATTGAATTGGTCTTCTTTTAGAATAAGACAAGAGAGAATGTGATTAGAAGAACTAATCACCCTATTCCTGAAAAATTCTTCAAAGATCTTCAATAAGTCTCCTTTCACAATTCCCCAACAATCTTGAAAAAAACATAATGGAAAGCCATCCGGGCCCAGTGATTTATCCTTGTCACAATTAAAAACCGGATCTTTCATATCCTCTTTAAAGGCCTTTCAAGCCAACTAGCTTTCTTCCGTTGTCCTCCAAGATCGCACTCTATTCAATTCCTTCAAAGTACCATCAAAATTCCTCATCTTCCTTAAAGAGAGTTTCATAGAACAAGATGATCTAGTTATCAATCTCCCTCTAATCCTCTAAAACAGAATTATCATCTATTTCATGAAACATTACTTTTATTTCTCATATTGCTAACTAATTTGTGAAATAACTTGAAATTAACATCCCATTTTTCGAGCCGTTATCCCCATCCAACGAAATTGTCTTTGTTTTTTTTTTTTTTTTCTTTTAAGAATTGTGTCCCTTATTCTCGTTGAACTAAATTGTTTCTATCTATCACAGGTAAATGGAGGGACGAAAAACGCACAAAGATGTGTGAGCTAACTACATTGATTTTGGTTAACATAATGTCTACTGATTTAGATCGAAAGGAGCTTGTGAGTTTGTTGTTCCATGCAGCAAGACATGGAAGCATCGAGTTTGTGAACCAAATCGATCAATTGGACCCGAATTTGATTTTTGGGGTTGACAGTAAAAATCAAAGTATCATTCATATTGCTGCCAAATATAGACAAGAAAAAATCTTCATGATGAACAAACTCAGGTCTCATAGGACAATCCTAGCCTCCAAAATTGGTCATCAAATGAACAACATACTCCATACAGTTGCAGAAATAGCACCGGACTCTAGACTTAATGCCATTTCAGGAACTGTTTCTGCAACTGTATGGAGTATGTTGTTCATTTGAGGGCCAATTTTGGAGGCTAGGATTGTCCTATGAGACCTGAGTTTGTTCATCATGAAGATTTTTTCTTGTCTATATTTGGCAACAATATGAATGATACTTTGATTTTTACTGTCAACCTCAAAAATCAAATTCGGGTCCAATTGATCGATTTGGTTCACAAACTCGATGCTTCCATGTCTTGCTGCATGGAACAACAAACTCACAAGCTCCTTTCGATCTAAATCAGTAGACATTATGTTAACCAAAATCAATGTAGTTAGCTCACACATCTTTGTGCGTTTTTCGTCCCTCCATTTACCTGTGATAGATAGAAACAATTTAGTTCAACGAGAATACGGGACACAATTCTTAAAAAAAAACAAAGACAATTTCGTTGGATGGGGATAACGGCTCGAAAAATGGGATGTTAATTTCAAGTTATTTCACAAATTAGTTAACAATAGAAGAAATAAAAGTAATTTTCATGAAATGGATGATAATTCTGTTTTAGAGGATTAGAGGGAGATTGATAACGAGATCATCTTGTTCTATGAAACTCTCTTTAAGGAAGATGAGGAATTTTGATGGTACTTTGAAGGAATTGAATAGAGTGTGATCTTGAAGGACAACGGAAGAAAGCTAGTTGGCTTGAAAGGCCTTTAAAGAGGATATGAAAGATCCGATTTTTAATTGTGACAAAGATAAATCACTGGGCCCGGATGGCTTTCCATTATGTTTTTTTCAAGATTGTTGGGGAATTGTGAAAGGAGAATTATTGGAGATCTTTGAGGAATTTTTCAGGAATAGGGTGATTAGTTCTTCTAATCACATTCTCTCTTGTCTTATTCTAAAAGAAGACCAATTCAAGGAGGTTGAAGGACTATAGGTCAATATGCTTGGTGACGAGTATTTACAAAATTTTGGCAAAAGCTAGGGCATGCAGTTTCCTTGTTAGAATGTGCTGTTGTGAAAGATAGACGGATTCTGGACAAAGTGCTAGTAGAAAATAAAGCAATGGAGGAATATAGGGCAAAAAGAAGGAAAAGACTAGCATTTGAAGTGGACTTTTGACATAGAGAGTTTGATAGGCCAAATTTTTTAGATTTGATTAGGAGCTGGACACATTTTTGTAGTTCATCTCCACTCTTTAGTTGTCTTATTTTTAGGGTCTGGTCATTTCTAGTTTTAGTTCTGGTTTGTTGTTCAGTTTTTTACTTTGAGAGGAAAACTCTCACTCTGCTTGTGTATCAATTTTTTTTTTTTAATAAAATTTATGTTTCTTTTCAAAAAAGAAAAAAAAAAGAGTACTTACAACGGTTCTGCACAACATGAAGGAGTCCGTGAAGGCTGTTTGAACACATACATGAAAAAGAACATTGGCATGAAGATTTGTGAGCATGTCCTTCCACCAAAATCTCCAAAACTCTTATTTTTGTTTCACGAGCTAAGTTGTTGTCACCAATAAACGCTTCTATGGCTATATCTGTATGTTTGACATGATTTAAATAAGAATCAAATTATATTGATAATCAAAAATAAATAAAAGAATAGATTTCCTTTAAAAACCTAACAAATACTGGAGATAACCTACTAGGGGAGCTCTCCTATCTTGTTTAAGCATAAGCGGGTGAAAATGCTACAAAGAATATAAGCACGGTGAAACTAATTTTCCACATGACATCTATATCTGATGTAACCCCATAAATTAAACCGTTATCTATGTCTCTTCATTATGAGAAAATGATAACTAACTGTTTTGTACATACCATATAGACCCCATTCAACAATTTTTGAAAACAACTTTGCTTCTTTCATTTGTTTCAAGATAGCCCCAGAGACACTGCACCATTTCAATCCTTTGATAGTCAACTGCAATTTCTAGGGGAAGACTCGATTTTTGATTCTCAATAGACTTGTGTCTCTCTGTATTAGGATATTTACGAGTCTTCTACATCCATTCACAACTGCTATGGATAATGCGGTATTACCGTCATTATCTGGGGTGGCCAACTCTCTATTGCTCATTCTTTGTACTAAATTTTATACGAAATGGACATGTCTTAGTCCTATTGCAAAATGGAGCATTGTTTGACCCCCTCTTGTCCTAGCACTAATCCGTGTTGGATTTGCTTCAAGTATCATCTCTATTGCACCCCAGTTTCCCTCTCACATTTCTGAAGAGGATATCCATTTGAGCTTGGGACGGAGATCTAGGTTGAGATAACTCTCCATGTTAGGATGTTTTGGGGTAAGATGTTTATGCCCTTGATGGATCTTGCTGACCTATGTATACATATAAAGAATTGAGTTAGTTATTGCTTGTGTATTGATGTAGGACCTAAATTTATAGCAGAAAAAATTTAACCAAAGATATAGCATTATAAGTGGAACAAGAACTCAAGTGAATGAAAACCAATAATCTCTTTCTCTGAAACAATAAACATATTAATGATCAAAATAAATACGGTTTACAATTTTCGTAGATGATATTTTTTTCTTATTGGATGTAGGCCTAGGGAATATCCGAAATGCAAAACTAAAATTCCAAAACTCTTCCCACGGTTTTGGGATTTAAGATTAAAATGGGAAAAAGCATCATAGTAGGTATAAATGTCGATGAATCATAGTAAGAGGTGTTGCTTCTGAGATGGGTTGTAAGGTGTGGGAGTGGGGTCTTCTTCTATCCCTGTAATTGATGAATTATCAATGAAAAGGGGTTTTCTTATATACAGAGAAAAGAACTAAACCTGCATAATCTTGTTGGGATGATGAGTTAGGGTTAGCTATTGAACACTTGCACAAATGGGGTTGGGTGCTTGGTGCTGGTTTTGGACTTAGTTCCTCATGGGATTGGGTGTTTGATAGAGCTTCAAACTTTTGTTCTTTTTCTAGTGGCGTCTTCCCCTGTTGATTTTTGATTCTCAATAGACTTGTGTTTCTCTGTGTTAGGATATTTACGAGTCTTCTACATCCACTCACAATTGCTATGAATAATGCGGTATTAGCGTCATTATCTTGGGTGGCTAACTCTCTGTTGCTCATTCTTTGTACTAAATTTTGTACGAAATGGACATGTCTTAGTCCTATTACAAGGTGGAGCATTGTTTGACCCCCTCTTGTCCTAGCACTAATCCGTGTTGGATTTGCTTCCAATATCATCTCTATTGCATCTCAATCTCGCAAAATTTTCCTCATCGTCAATTACTTGGAGGAAACATTACTTTAAAGAGCGTCTTTCTTCATGCAAATCTGTACACCAATCAGGACCCCCTTCCTTACGATCAAACTCCGCAATCTTTTTTACAATGCTTCTCTTTCCACATTAGTGGCAGCGGCTACCTCCATACTCCAATTCTTCACCTTTCCTTTCAAATTTCTTAATTTCATCATAAAATTATAACCTTCCAACCTGGGATGCATCCTTTGCCCACCAAGCCTTCAATCTTCTAACAAACTCCTTATTTTCCAACCAAATATTATCAAATATGAACGGAGAAGGCCCCCCCTTTGAGGGTTTTATATGGAAAATCACAGTACAATGATCCGAGACAGCTCTTACCATCACATCATGGTGACCCAAAAAAAAAAAAGATATTGACCAGCCCTTAGATAACAAGAACCAGTCTAGTTGGCAACAAATGAGATGGTCAATAAAATTAGACCAAGTGAATTTTGCATTGAGAAGCGGCAGATCAAATAAGTTTAAATCCCTAATTAGTTCATTGAAGAGCCTTATACTTCTCGTAAATCTGGAGCTTCGACTTTTCTCCAACAAAAACCATGTAACGTTGAAATCCCCACAAACACAACATCTATGTCCGTATAAAGACCAAAGACCCACCAACTCATCCCAAAACAAATCTCTCCTACCATAATGATTCGGCCCATATACGCCCGAGAGCGACCAATGTTCTCTATCCTCCTCAACCTTGGTAGTGACTGAAAAATCCCCCAAAAAGCTCTCTATGCTCTAGCCCGTCTAACGTCCCAAGCTACAAGAACACCCCCCAAACAACCTTCAACTTGCAATGAAACCCACTCCTTAAACCTTGATTTCCATATACTACTCAAACTTTCTCGCAACCTCCCTTCTTTTAGTCTGTTGAATAATCATGTACGGACTCTCTTTACAAATTGTATCCCGAACTCCTCTTTATTTAAAAGAAGAGTTTCCTCCTTGAATATTCCGTGACATAAGCTTCACAATTACCTTTTGTTGTCGCCTTTCCTTTCTTATCATAGTGAACCAAAAGTTGAGATTCTTCAGTTCACGCTCTCTGCCCTTTCTTCTGATCGACATTGCTGCCATTTCTAAAGCTTTTTCCAATTCCTTCTTAGAGCCTACCAACCGTAGTTCCAAATTTTGAAGCAAATTCCTAACTCGGCTCCATTACCACTTTCCTTCCATCTATGCTCACCGATTGATACTGACTACAATTCTATACCTGCAAGCAATTTTTACTTCACCAGAAAGCAGCCCCTTCTTTTTCAACCTCTCTAACATGGGCATTTGATTTTAATTCGCATCCCACCTTTTCATCATCACCCAATAACGTCTCGAGATTTACGTCCCCAATCACATGCTGCAAGCTGTCAAAGTTAGAGCATTGGATTCTAAACTCCATTAAGCATTGGAATTCAAGTAAATTGTCGCTTAACTTGTTCTCAACCATTAAGGACTCTGGACCCACTGCAGTAGTGAGGAATCTAACATCTTCAATACCGGCAACATCTACGTGGCCTTCTTCCTCAAAACTACTCTCTAAACAGACAGATTTGGTGCTGCTCCCTTAATAGAAAAATCACCACCGAAGGGAGGGACATCAAAATTGCCATCAAATTCAACGACCAGTTGTCTAACAAGACATCCCTAGCCTCCACAATATCATCGCACTGAACAGCTCGAGCATTTCGAAAGTCTGGTTGGACGATAAACACGTGCAAACAGCTTGATTTTGTAAATCTCAATTTCTCCCTCGCTGGTATAATGCAGAAGAGGTCTTTTGGGTTTTATAAGGGCTTCATCTCCCCCCTCTTTTTTTTTTTTTTGTAGCCTTAATGAAGAGAGATTGGTCTTTGGGTTTCCAGTGAAGGCCCTTTCACTCCTTTTTGACGTAATAGGCTCCGAGAGAGTTCTCAGCTGCCCTTTATCCAGGTCGCGAGCTTTCTATTCTGCCCCCTCTTTTTTTTTTTTTTTTTGTAGCCTTAATGAAGAGAGATTGGCCTTTGGGTTTCCAGTGAAGGCCCTTACACTCCTTTTTGACGTAATAGGCTCCGAGAGAGTTCTCAGCTGCCCTTTATCCAGGTCACGAGCTTTCTGTTCTGCCAAGGGAGGTCAAAATGACACCGATCCAAGATCAGATTAGGCCTGGGTGTGACCAAATTGGTAAGAGAATGTAGTGGAATATTCTTCCTCGCCCAAAATTCCAAATTTATTGCATAATAGTAAATTCCTTTTTTGATCGACAATGGATAATAATTGACAACCTTCTCAAGGGGCGATTCTTGAATTTCTCCCAACTTTGGAAGAAGATGGCTCGTCAGAATTTGTCGATGACCTGATTGCGAGATACGAATTGATTTGCCACGTTGTTGACACTATGCCTGCCACGCATAACTCAATTCAGTGAATTTGCCACGAAGAATGCTTCTGCTGACCCTTCGTTTCTAGCCCTTCATTCGGCGTAATCTCCATTGGAATAGACTTCTGGTTTTCTTCTCTGTTTCATGGTACGATCTAATGATCTCTCCGGTCAACCCGATCTTCTTTCTATTAGAGTACGAATCTGATTCCTGAGTTATATGTGGTGCGACCCTCCTTGTTCAAGCGCTCTTCAACTCCAACTATTCTTCTAAACTTCTGGAAAGCATTCCACCAACCCTACAATTTCCTATCATACTCCGAGAAGTATTGTTTTCCAAGTTGAACAAACCAAGGTGGATTTTCACCTGGAGAAGGAATTTCCAAGATGGGTGACATAAAGCCCTCCAAGAACCCTTTGATTCTGATCGTGGCGCACAAAAGAAAAGATTGGTTCAACGTCCCCTCGGCATCTTCGAGAAGGCGCCCACAAACGTCCCCAATCACTTAAGTGTGGAAATTCCACGTGTTCAATGGCAAACCTCACTACCTATCCAACTATTCCTCACCTTGATTTGGACATCATCTCATTGCGAATGTATGCTCTGTGGCTTCACTTTAGCCATCAGTTTTTTATCATAGAAGAAACTGGATTCTGCCAACAAAGCACATCTTTCCTCTTCATCTGAACACCATGCTATGGCTTTATGTGCAACCATTGGAACTCCCTTACAGCCTCCACCCAATCTGCTATTTAAGACCGCTTAATCATTCCCTAACTAGTTTCCAGCATATGCCTAAAAACCATCACTGCCAACTTCGAGGATTTCTCTAGACTATTTAGTGCCTCACTTGGAGCAATAGCTTACTCACCTTTGCTCTAGATTGGGATTTTCCTCAAT